GATTCGAGTGCTCCAACTACAACTAGACTTACTGATATCCTCATGTGCAACACTTGTGAGATTCTCAATTCAAGATCCTTGTATTTTGATAGTTTTTTTTTGAAGATCTTCAAAGATATATTACAATTTGCATGACTACGATGTCAATAAGAAAGTGTTTCTTTTATATCTGTCTTTGATCACGATCTTTGGTCGATTAGTTTTGATTGTTCGCTTTGTGTGTATTGTAAAGTCCCACAGAATTGTTACAGGTCCTATTCTCTGTAACCGGGTCTGGGTGACGTTCATAATTGTTTCTTGAAGTTTCCTTCCCATAAAAGTTGCATATGTTCCTGTGCAGATATTGGCACACTCTATCATGCCGAGTTTTATATTCAGTGGGTGCTAACATTCTGCAATCTGATAAAAGATGGTCAATTGTTTCTGGATATTTATCACAGAATCTGGTAACTTTTAGTTAGCAAGAATTGGTCATTTGGAGCAAGAATAAAATCTTCGGTTTTGGCTTATAACTCTAAAGTACGTAACCTACTGATGTGTAAGGGATTATTATTATTATTATTATTATTATTATTATTATTATTATTATTATATTTCTGCTATGGTCACCTTATCTAGCAAGACTTCGGAAAGACCTAAGGTATGTTGTTATGGATACATTTCATGAGTTGTTTTTTCTACCTTTCACAGCATCTCTAGTGTTAGTTACAAGGACAAAATATGTTTGTTTTTTAATATTTGGTCTCTACTTATTAATCTTTTGCATTTCTCTTCAGCTGGGATTTCCAGGGATTTTTTTCAATAGGTCACTTTGTTGTATACTAGTTTCATCATTTATATCAGCTGTTCTTTGCTCATTTTTGCAAGGTTTTATTATTATTATTATTATTATTATTATTATTATTATTATTATTATTATTATCATTATCATTATTATTATTATATCTAGATTAGATTTTATTTTGGTCCCACTCCACATTTCACCGCAAGGTTCTAGAGTCCTTGTATATCAGATCCCGTGGGCCTTCCCTTTGTAAACAGAGGGAATGCTTACTGGGACTGAATGTTATTGGACACTTGTTTCTTGAAATTCATATTTTTTTCCATTCCATTCCATTCGTTAATTTAATTTAAACGCTTTTATAAATTTTATAAATTTTCTATTTCCAGAAAAATAAACTTGATAAGTCCTGGGACGAAACCGGTTGTTTTTTTTTTTTAGCTTTTCTTTTATAAAAATGCCTTATAAATTTTGTCTTTTCCTATTTATTATGATTATTATGTTCTTTTACATTTGTTTTCTGTTTAGTACAATCGCTAAACGAATTTAGTAAATATATGCACTCTATTTGCATAAGTAATAATAATAATAATAATCAGAACAAAAATACTAATGATAATAAATACTTCATACTTTGAATGTTTTTCTGAGAGTTTAGTAAATTTTACATCTATGACATGATTCCAGTTTTAAGATTCTCCATTTAATGGGATTATATATTTTAACTGAACTGAAAATTTACCTGTGCATACCTATGACACAATTTGATCAAAGGTTAAATATACACAATCGTATAGACATCATGACATCTCAGCTACATATCCAACGAATTGTACCTACAATCAGGATCTGTTGACATGCAATCTCGCGATATTTCAGATTGAAACTTGGAGGCAGCTCATAAAAGAAACAAGAAGATGCAAAATATAATAATAATAATAATAATAATAATAATAATAATAATAACCCAACAACGACCAAAGCTGCCTATAATATATGGCGAGAAAAACACCCCTCAAACAGACTAAAATGCCAACAAATTAGCCAATGTCAAGGTCGATGACGAAACACATGTTAATAATAATATTGTTGTTCATGATAAAAGGGTAACAAAAGAAAATATTGCTAAATTGCATCTATCGTCGCGCGGGCCAAAAAGTAAGGAACTAGACTGGGATCGAAACTGGAACAAATTCTACCCAACCAGAACTAGAGGAAAACCACGCCGAGGAAAAGTCCTCACAGAGGCCCTCTATCTTCATTAAAATAAAATCCCACAAAAAGAACAATAAATAAATGGTCTAGACTTGTAATTATTTATATATCAAACGTGAAACATTACATACCAATTATTTGTGAATTTTGACTCAGCAGCTCAGGAAGAAGGTTTAAAATTGTTCAGGAACTCAGGGCTCAAAGTGTTATTATACCTGAAATACTGCCAATAAAAAACGAAGAGAACACCATCTATGCCAAACGAGTAAAGCAGAAAGCAAAAGAACTTGGCCAAATGAAATTAAAACAAAACTGTGGGACAAGGCGTTGCATGGCAAATGCATAAAATAATGAAAGAAGCAGATGTGGACTAACAGAAAACACATTTGAGAAGCACCGGGCTGAAAGGTGAGACAGGAGGCCTTTATTGCAGCTCAGGACCAAAGCCAGATCCTATCATTGTCACCTAATCAAGGACAGAATTAACAAATCAGGATCTGTGGAAAATATGATGAAAGTGTCGACCATATTATCTCAGGATATCCAGAACTGGTAAAAATGAATATAGCCAGAGACATAAAAATGTAGCGACATAAGAACAAAATTGAAACTCCTGAGAGATGGTATGAGTACCAACCAGACACAGTTACCCAAAATAACGATGTAACTATCCTCTGGGACATGCCAATTCAAACTGACAGGGGAAATAAAAACCAACACACCTGATATTATCATAAAAGATAAGAAATCCAGGAAGTGTATCCTTATTGACATAGAAATACCATCTGAGAGAAACACCAGCATAAAAATTAGCCAATAGTAATCAGAAAGCATTTGACAATTTTACTAACAGTGTTCCAGGTAACATCAACATAAAAGTTGCCCAGAAGATCAGCCTAATAGGAACATCCGATATACGAAGAAATGTGTTATCAATTAAATGACAATTCTCCTGCGGGGTCTAAGGACCATAGTTTGGATCCAGCTCTACAGGACATCAAGCAGGAAATATAATACACAATCAACAACAACAATAATTATAACAACAACAACAACAACAACAATAATAATAATAATAATAATAATAATAATAATAATAATAATAATAATCAGTTGCTACGTAGTGTAGGGTTGAAAGCGGAAACTAAAGGTTTTATCCTTGCTGCGCAGGACCAATGCTTGCAAACACATATACTAAAATAGTGTGTCAGCCCAAAATTCTGTGATAAATATCCAGAAACGATTGATTATCTTGTATCAGGTTGTACGGTACCCACTGAATATAAAACCCGACATGACAGAGGGCCAATATCTGCACTTAAAAATCTAACTGCTGGTAATAAAGATCCGGTTACGGAGATAGGACCTGTTATTCTATGGGATTACATTTTACAACTGACAGAACAATCAAGGCCAACCACACAGATATTGTTGTTAAAGACCACAAACAAAAACGTTGCCTCCTTATTGATAACTGCAATGTATCTTGAAGATATTCAAAAAGTTGTCAAAGTATAAGGACCTTGAAATAGAAATCTCGAAAATGTGGCATATTCAACAATTGTTGCAGTTGGAGACCTAGGACTGGTTGGAAAAGATTTAAAAGGGATTCCTGAAGTCCATTCCTCAAGGAGATACAAAATATTGTTCTGACAAGTACAGCCCAATCTATGTAATTTAATTCTTTTTTTTTTTTTTTCAGTGGAAAGTGTCATGACGCCATTTCTAACCTAAGGTCCCTGGGCAGGACCCGGAAAGAAATTAAACGCCAGAAATCTGTTATAATAATCATGTCCTTCTCCCATTTTCAATTGACATACATCATTTACTGACGTATTATGCTAATAAAAGACCAAAAGTTATTATTTTCAAGTAAATTACAATTTAAACGGTAGCTAGAAGTGTGGCACTTACTTCCAATCATTTTTCTTGATAGGCTTCGGTCATTTAAATATGCCAAATTCTAAGCTCAGTTAAGAATTATCTGTTATAAATCAATTATCGAGATTCTTTATTGACATTTTATAGACTCTAATTTATTTTAAAATTAATTTAAAATTTCGATATCGTTGGATTTACTAAGTTGGTTGATTGATTGATCCATTTTTCACGCCTTATCAACCCTGTGCAGATTATTTAAACCCAGAAAATTGTTTTAGATTGTAAGAAGATTTTTTTAAGATAATAATGGTTAGTGTTACAAGTGTTACTAAATAACCCATGTCTGGGGGTGGTGGATTCATGCCTGATCAGAATTTGATAAACAAACAAGCATATTATAATGTGTATATAAAGTGGAGGATCAATTCTTTATTACAATCAGTTTATATAAACTTATCCATCACATTATACCCATGGCAGATTTTATAAATTTATATTTCAGAGAATGTAGATAAATCTAAAAGACATAACTGTGCCTTTTAGATCAGTATTTTATTGACTGATTCGTTTTCAATTGCTCATCAGCCGTTTGCATGTTATTTAAAGCCAGGTAATATTTTTAGATTGTGATGAATATGCATACACCTGGATTCCCCCTCGTAGTAATATGATTGGCTGGTGTCAGCCATAAATACAGACTGATGTGGAGGTACATGGACTACGTCTATTGACTACGCTTATTGTCTACGCCTATTGCCTACACCTATTGACTACGCCTATTGCCTACGCCTATTGTCTTCGCCTATTGCCTACGCCTATTGTCTACCACTACGACGACGACCAGTCCATTACGGTTACCTGCTAGATTGTCCTACACGGTTACAGTAATCAGCAACCACTTTGCTACTTCGAACAAATACATCCCTTTCCGGGATATATCAGATTATAAGAAGTTCTTTGAGATAATAATGATTTAGTGATTCAAGTCTTATTTATTAACCCATAGCTGTCGGGGAGAACAGACGGACGTAAGTGAATATAAAGAACCCACCTGGGTTTAGAACTCAGTTCTCCGATTAACAATTTCGAGCCATTATCCATTACACCACCTGCACGTCCAAGCTCACAGCACCTGGTATTTCCAAACCGTCACCCAGCTAGGTACTAACCAGGCTCATTGTTAACTTCTGTGATCGTACGGGAACCGGTATTTCAACGCGATACAGCCGTAAGTCTAGGTTTACTAAAGACGAAACAGCGATGGTAAAGCTGTGCAATGGCTAAGCATAAAAACGAATAGAAAATATGGAGAACCTGTAATAATAAAGAAACTTCAATCAGATCAATTTACCCTTCGATAGGCGGTCAGTCTTCTACTCTTGATATCTTCAAAATCGTTAAAGCGTAAAGAGCGACGATGTCATGCTGTTTGGTTAGACACTGGACAGCCATTGTTAATGGAGTGTTGATCTGGCGATCAACACCTGGCAACATAGCTCAAGCAAAAATTGAAGACGCCATTTTTTTTGGCAAAGGTAATGTGGAAATTGTTCGGCGTGCCCAAACGTTTCTACTTCATTTGGGTCAATGGGACATAGGTAAAAGAATTGCTTGAACAAATGTTTATAATAAAGGTCATCCAAAAAGAAAATCTCGAGAGCCACCCAAGTTAGAGACTTACAATTAAAATTATATTTATCTCTATCTATAAAAGGCAGGATATGTGTGTGTGTGTGTGTGTGTGTGTAACGAATGCACGGCCGCAATTTTCGACGGATTTGCACCAAAATTTATATGCAGATGCTCCAAGTTAGTGTGAAGGCCAAGACCGACGTTGCATTTCCCAACTCCTATCGATTCATTCTTCTATGGCAGTTTTCATGTAGTTTGCGGCCATTTTCTACTGGCCAAAGTGAGAGCCTATTGCTGGCTGCCACGAATAGGCAGGAAGATTCTATTGGCCAGCGTGAGAGCTAACAGCTGACTGACACGAATATTAACTAGCATGCTAGCATGCAAAAAAAAATCGATAGCTGCATTCGTCACAAGTGGGAAAAATTTAAATCTGCATGGCACTTTACTCCAATTGGCTCATTCGCTTGCTTAAACTCAACGTTGATTCTGATTCCGTAGAACTGGGTTGTGAAAAAGTATTTGTTGTTAACATTCTTTTTTCATTCGGTTTTTCCAGTTACGAGTCCTTTTTTTAAAGCTGATCGTTTTGTGTTCATTTTGTTTAGTTCTTTTTTTCGTAACAGATTTAATGTTTAGTATAGAGCTTAGAAAAAATTCGCAGTGTGAGATAGGCAAGAAGTAAGGCATGTAGCAACATCAGCACGGCAAAGGGCACTCGTTTAAAAGCAAGGAAGTGCAAAAATATTTTAAGTCAAGTGATAGCGATTGCTGTATGAGTCGTACTATTTTTGAGTCAAGCACGGGCAACGCCGGGTCATGCTGCTAGTGTGATATAAACGAAAGAGAATATAGTAGGATGTGAAACTTATGAGAATAAAGAGGATAGTTTATAACTAATCCTTGAGATTGTAGTGTTTAGGGAAGAATCTGCTCTTGAGTCTGCTACACGTTGTATCAGTTCACTGGGAAAAATCTTCCGAGTAAAACTTTCTAGTTATATATATGAAATACGGGGGAAATGAGGTTGATTCAATTCCTTGAAAGTAGCATGGCGTGTTCTAACTGCAAGGTCTTAGATGTTGGAACTAAAGCTCATCTGAACATATGACATCGATATAGAACTTGTTTTTTTTCTTGTAGAATATAAATCTTCCCTCACAAGTCCGAGTAAATGATTTTGTACTCGGTCAAGGCTGTAAAGTAAAGATTGACCAATGTTCCGATACACGTCCTTTTATTTCGTTCACTACATTTATTAATTCCCAATTCAAATCGATTGATAGAGAACATTAACTCTGGACACTTCTCATCAATTATATACGCCTCAGATTATTTTGAAAGACTATCTAAATATTTTTGATTGTTGAAACTCATAGTCTCTTATTTCGTTTAATGCAGTGATTAATTCGGAATTAAAAACAGTTTAGAGATATAATTATTTAATCTTATAATACATATAAAAGATTTCATTGAAAAATTATGACTTATTTCGTTTGCTGTTTATTTTCTTCCTGTTTTTGGCTACAGAGTCGGTAGCCTAACTACGCTGTAATTAAAAACGCCATGTTCACACCCTTCTTGTTAAGGATTTGGTTTCCGGTTCCTTGTAAGATCTACGTCTGACAAATCTTCTGACGAATCCGTCTAAGCTTTGAGAATATATTTATTATTTATTTGTTTTAATTTTTTCTCTCAATAGGAGTTGATATGTTCAACTATCGTCCGGCTCACTTACCTCCTCAGTCTTTTGAACAGGGGCAAAATGTACTTCCTGTTCCTTGTTTAGGATTAGGTTTCCGGTTCCTGTTAAAGTATTCTCATTCTCTTTTACTCCCAGTAATCCCTTGCGTCTTAGTGGAATTATCGCCTTGCTTGGAGTGAAATGCTATTAAAAAAAATGATAAAAATTGAAAAAAAAAAGAAGCAAAAACACATATTGGTCGGTGAAAATTGATAAGGAGATTATTGTTCGTCGAGTTTTGTGTTTCCGTATTTTCTCACGACACAAGTCTTCAAACCCGTTAATGACATTAGTGCCGTAAGAGGACTCACGTATCTGTTGCTTTTGAATTGACTGTTTTCTTTCTCCTAAATTGGTTACCTACCAAGGGTGTAGAGTCCAGTCTGTTCTGCTAGTTGTGCAACGCAAAAAGATGGATACATATATTTCCAAATATATTTCTGCGAAAGTCACAGGAATTTGAACTTGTAATGCCAATACCATTTTACGCGCTGATAACCGCCACACGACGCACGCAGCTGCATCTGCAATTTTATTTTCGAATTTAAAGTTTTGGCAGCTCGTTCACATAATTTCACTGTTAAAATTACCATATGTAACTTTTTAACGTCCACGCTAATAGTTTATTCTCTCGCACATCTCGATTGTGGAATTCACTTCCGGCTTCTGAAATTCTTGTCAACTACAATCTTCAATAATTAAATGCAACCTCAATTGTCATTTTCTGCCTCATCGTACCGTGTTCTTTTATTGTAATTTCTCATTTTTTTTCAATCTAAATAAACATCAGGCGTCTTAATGGTTTTTATTGCCTTGCTTGGGGCGAAATGATTTAACAAAAGAACAAACAATAAAGAAATTACCAGAAAGAATAGATTATTCAGTAATAAGAAAATGATAATGTTTTGCCTTAATGTTAAACTAATATAAAAAAACGGCTGAAAATGTTCGATGTGAACTTTAATATATTTCAGTCTGTTTTACAACGTCCTAACTCTTTTTATTATCATTTTGACGAGATTTCAGATTAGCGTCCCAGATTACCACGGTTGATCTGGCAACATTTGATAATCAGATATTCAGATATTTAAAAAAAAAAATGTAGTTTTCTTCTTGATATTTTAATTGTCCGAATAAGAATATAAATATATATATTGAAAACAAATTAACGGAGCAGTTTTATTCTTAAATTTAACTGTATTTTCTTGTAACTGTGCAATTCTCAACAAGTTAAGTGTGATTATAGAAACGTTAAATTACGAATCAATAATTTCTTTTAGAACTTCTGGGATAAGATGTTATTATTTACACTATTTATATTCTAACTATTGTCCTGATGTTTGTTGTTGTTATCACACCATTTTAGCCGTTGTGCCCTTCGGCCTTCATCAGGTGTACGTCGAACCGGGTTACCTACAGGATAGAAGATTCAGTAGAGGCTATCAAGCAACATCACCGGGTAATATTATAGCGGATTAAGGAGTTAGTTGTGAGTTCAATCCCTTGATTGGGCAGTGTGTAACAGTTCGTCAATTTACTTAAAAATAGAAACTAAACGAGAGTCTGTCTATATTTCTGAGATGAGGTACATTATTTACATTATTCGGACTATTGTCCACATCAGACATTAGGTTTATAAAAAAAAAAGAAGAAAAGAAAGAAAGAAAGAAAGAAAGAAAGAAAGAAAGAAAGAAAAGAAGTCCTCAAAGACACATGGCACAGTGGATAAAGGCGTTGGTTATATCCAGTGACAGGACCCAAAGAGTGTGAGTTCAATACCCGGTTAAGGCAGTGGAGAACTTTCAGAGGGAAAATTATCAGGAGATAACTGATAACTGACATCCATCAAACATGGCACGTGGAATTAGAACAGTCTACTCCAGTGAGCGAAATAAAGGGTTCAGTTCGAAATTCCAACCACCTGAAGAAGGCCGGAGCATACAACGACCGAAACGTTGTGATAAATATGGCGACAAAGATGAGGACAATAGTCCGACTAATGTAAGTAATGTAAAGGACGGAGAGAACGAGAACAATCTACACCTGTAGATTAAACAAAGGGCTCAGTTCGAAATGCTCGATATGTTACCCGGATCTACATAGACCGGATGAAGGCCGGTGGGCAAAAACGGCCAAAATGTAGTGATAGAAACAACAAAGATAAAGATAATAGTCGGCGTGTAAATAGTGTAAATAATTAAACTAAGGAATCTGCCATTTTCATCGCTAACCTGGAAGTCGAAAAGAAATGGTTATATCTAAATTTGCGCAATGTGCATTAGCATTATCTTGATTTAACAATCAACCGATATCTGACATTCGATTCGGCGCTCACGATCTGTGATATTTTGAATATCTTGCCAGAAGTGGAACTATAAAAAGAGAAGCATTAAATAACTGACGATCAATGCGAAATACTCCAAAGTAATCTTCAACCTGCTTATTTGGGAGATTTTGAATTTTAAACCGGAATCAGGTCGGTCACTTGCAACGCTTTTATGCATTGGCTTTGAATCAAGACAGAAATCATCTTGCCATTGGTTTCCCGACATCTAGATGAACGGCTTCATCGTAACAGTTTAGTTGGCCAACATGTTATGATAGCAATTAGAGGATCAATTTTAATTGGAGTGTTTTACAATAATGAACCCAAACCGATTACCCGAGATCATTTTCGATTTTTAAAGTAAAAAAAAAAAAAAACAAAAAAAAACGCTACCAAAACTGAAACATATTCCTGGCTGATTACTCGATTTCATAGTAAAGAAATCGAAGACATTGTAGAGTTAACTTTTACAGTAATGTCGTTAATTTCACATAATATTGGACTTCTTTTCTCTTGTTGGACATATTGT